TGATTTTCCTTGATTATGTCTGTGGCCCTTGCCAATCACTATTTCATCTACAAAGTGGGGAAAGTACAATTACCTATTTCAAAAGGTCATAGTAGAATTTAATGTAATCAATTTGCATGAAGCTCTTGGAGCCATGCCTTGAAAATGACTGGAGATCAACACGATCTGAAACTGTTTTGGGTTTTTGGTTTTTTTGGTATGATGCTTCTAACTAAAGATGCATATATGAAATCCTGCATGGTCTTAGTAAGGCTTCAAATCAGCCTCTTCTACAATGTTTGGCTATTTACTTTTGTGAACGAGTTCAAAATTAAAAGAAAAGTATTCATTTTATTCTTATTGACAGTATAACTCTCTGGAGATTTTAGAAATAAGAATGGTATTTTTTTATTTATATATTTTTAAGACATACTATGTATAGTATGATCACATGGACTAGTATTGAAATGGAACAAAGTTACCAGATATATTTGGTGATGGAATAAAAGTCGGATGAGTAGAAGACTGACTGGGCTTGCTGATGGAAGGAATGCAGGATGAGAAGAGATGAGCCGAAGAAAGATTAGCGGAGAATATCCAGCTTTATATTCAGCTCCCCTTTCACTCCATCTCAGGTGATGGGCAGCAAGCATTATTAGGTCTATTACCTGACTGTGTTCTCTTCTCCAACTCTGTGTGCATTTTTGCTTTTATCTGTGGACATTTACCAGAGCTTGGAAGACTTCCCAATAATCTCTCCCTATGTACACAACCTTACCTATAATGAAACCAGTTTAATACTTAAATCATCTTTCTATTTATTGATAGCCTACTGTAATGGTTACAGCCTTGAAATTGGACTCCACCAAGGTGTGGTATGTCACTAAGAAGATTTTGGAAAAGTAACCCACTTGACTGTTTTAAGCTGCCAAAAAAGCATTGATCTGTATCTAATCAAGCTGTTTCCGCATGGTTTTAAATTATGGCAGTCGCTGACTTTCCACAAAGCAATTTCTAACAATAACAAATGTTCCTCCATGTTTATATTATGATCAAACAAAATTCATATCACTACACATTATCTTCCTATGTTTAAAAATCTTTCATATTAATTTTTGTAATTCTGAGTAAACTCTACACATAATTACTTATTTTGCATTGTAATTCTTATCAAAATATAGAACACAAGGAAATGTTAATACACATTAAGAAAGCATAGTTTGAATTCAATAAACAGTCTTGATTATTGTTGTTGCTATTGTTATGTGCCATCGAGTCAGTTCTGACCCATTGACCTTGTGCAGGACAGAATGAAACACTGCACAATCCTGGGCCATACTCGAAAGTGTTCCTCCACTGGAGCCTATTGTTGCCGCCACTGTATCAATCCATTTCCTTTCTATCTCTTTTTCGCTGTTTCTCCGTTTTACCAACCATGATCCCCTCTCCAGATAACGTGTTCAAGTACGTAAGAGGAAGCACTGCTGTTCTTGCCCCTGAAGAGCATTCTGGCTGTACTTCCAAGACAGATTGTTTGTCCTTTCAGCAGTCGGTGGTATTTTCAATATTCTTCAAAATCCAAATGCTGTCCTTCTTCTTTATTGCTCTTTCTTATTCAATGTCCAACTTCCGCATACATGTGAGGCAACTGAAAATATCATGGCTTGAGTCAGGCACACCTTAGTCCTTAAAACGATGTTCTTGCTTTTCAATGAAGTCTTGTGTAGCAGATTTACCCAGTGCAGTGCATCTTTTGATCTCTTGACTGCTTATCTCATGAGCATCGATTGTTGAACCAAGCAAGACACAAATCTTGATTACTATTAGAATTCTATACATGGAACTCAGAATGGCATCTCCTTTATAAAGACTGATTGTGTGAATTGAATTTTATTTCCCCAAAATAAATGTTGGATATTCTAGCCCCTTTATCTCTGGTTGTGATCCCATTTTGGAATAGGTTTTCTTTGTTATGTCAGCATGGTTATATCAGTGTGGACTGTGTTTTAAACCAACCATTTCTTAAACATGAAATGATAGATTAGGCCCAGAAGAAAGTCGATTCGTGGGGGAGGAGCGACACTGTGTGTAGGCTGAGGAATTGAAGACCTCCCAGAACAAACTAAGGAACTCTCAGAGGGAAAAACAAAACAAACAAAATCAAAAAACCTCAGGAACTCCCAGAATGGCTGATTTGAGAAATGGAGACACAGATTTCCATCCTGTCCTACAGAGAAAGAGCCTTTCCACAGAGTCAGCACCGGAACTTGGATTTCCAGCTTCCTAAACTTTGAGAAATAAATATCTGCTTTTTAAAGCCACTCACTCATAGTATTCCTGCTACAGCAGCACTCGATAACTAACAGAGAAGCACACCATTCCAATGACCTCATTTACTTCAGTTACTATTCCCAGGCTGCTATGTTTGGGGACATTCACGTACTGGCCTGTGCTTATCAGCAGGCCCCCAAGAGTCTGTACCACATTCTGTCAATCTGTTTTATTTATGCCAGTGGATGCAAGCCTGAACAAAATACTCACACCAAGACAATTTGATAGATGGGTTAGAGGTATACATCACTTTTTTATTCAATTAGCTTATTTCATTGTCTCATGCCTGAAGAGTTCTCTGAAATTATTTTTCGATGCAATCTAAGGTAATTTGTCTGCTTCAATCTTTTAAAAATGATATTTTCTCTTTTCTTCTACTGAGATCAAGGACATAGACATGTACGTTCTGCTTCTTTCATTTATAATTCTAACATAAACTGATGTTGGTTGAACTCAATGATGCTAATCCAAGTCTTTGACAGATATTAACTGCTGGCAAAGGCATTTTCAGAACCAAGCTCTAAGCAAAGCTAAACATTTGGGTGTGCTTTGCAAAATTAAATGTTTTATTAGGTATAAATATACATCATTTAAGCAATTTTTAAGGTTGCATTTATGACGTAGAAGTTCCAACACTCTTTGTACTGCACATGCTGATGAAGAAAGAGCTCAACATTATTATGAAAGGCTTCAGATTCAGTTTGTCCACTTCTGATGCCCATGAGTTCTCATGAACTGCATTCTTTAATTAATCTACACGTAATACTCCATTGATCAAATGAAAATTTCACTGAGAGTATGTAGGTGACTCTTAAAAAGTGGGGTTTGTTCAAACAAACTAATGTCCACATACCTGTAAAAGGGAATAGTAGAATCTCTATCCGGGGATTTATACTAAAATCAAATGTTTCCATGGAAATATGTGAAATCGATGGCAAAATTGATTTACTTGGTATGGAACTATTTTCTTTAAATCAGTTTCCAAGTTACTCAGTTTTTACTAAAAGCACTTTTAAAGGTGTTTTCTCTGTTTCATTTGCTGTTTTAAACCAAATAAAAATAAAATGTTCAAATAAAATTACATTTTACATATTTCTCTTGTCACTCGTTTTTCTCAGATAGAATTCAAATAAAAACTGAGGTTTATTTTAAAACATAGTATAATTATTTCTATTTTAAGAATAATAACTAGACATTTTTTTTAAAAAGTAATGTTTGAGCTCCAATGTTTGATGTAAGTCTGGGTACCACAGAATATCTTTGAGACGTTTTTGACATATACCTGGAACTGGACAGTGGTGGTGTCATGAAAAGGGAATACAATTTAGAATTAGATAAAGTTGAATTGAAATTCCATTTCTGGTAATTAGTAACTTTTGTTAGAGTGTTGGTAGAAATTTATTAGAATTAAAATTTTATTGGAATTATTAGAAAATAGTCTAATCTTTAATGTTATTTTTGCCATACTTTTCTGATATTTGAGATTTAAAGAAAATGTTCTTAAAATATCTAGCATCTATTAGACACTTAATTGTAAACATTATTTGATATGTAGGCTATGTGCAAAGAAAATCATGTATTAAAATCTTGAGACGTTTTCTTATTACAAGCAATCCTGAGTATATTGCATTCTATCAGTTTAAATTCTTAGACTAAGAGAATAATTTTGCTTAGAATTAAATGAAATAAATACAAATGTATTTTCCACTAAACTTCCTCTACTATTATTTAATTATAAATGAATGCTGTTTCAATGCCTCCTAATTGACTCTCAGTAAATGGCATAATTAATATAAATAAATAGACTAATGTGCAAGGGAAATGAAAACTGGGGGGAAAGGTCAACTATTTATTTTTCAATTTTCAACTTTATATATTCATATTCAAATATTGTCAATTTTATACCATGATCAGGCATCTATATTATACACAAAGAGAGGCCAATGGACGAATCAAATATCATGCAGTATCCTTTTGCTAACAGCTTTATAGAAAATAATTTATTGCTCTGTTAAACTATTATATAGTTTTTTTAATTTTAAAAAAGGGACAATTTCATGATTTCCAATTTGAATCTAGTTTAAATATAACTGCATTAATCATAGTATAACAATTTTGTTTGTGTCTGTATGCTTGTTACATTTCCCTCTGTTTGGTTTTGAATTGTGTATTTGCTGATTGATTTTAAAACTAGTATTTTTGAAGCTAGTAATACACTCCAATTATGAGTGCTTTTGAAGCTATTGACTGCTCTTTAGGAAAAAAAAGCATCTTCCTGTACAAACCACATTAGTGATCAAATTGCTGAGCATCAATTTGTAAGTAACTTAAAATGAATAGTTTGTGTAGAGGAAGCTAGTTTTAATTATAAATTAATATTTTGTATAAAGCACTATTTCCAGCCTAAATGTCTCAATATTCTCTATTCTCTAAATTGAAAATGACACCATAGAAAAGGATTTATTGTATAGATTCCATATTATAGATACTTATGGAACCAATTGTTCTATCACAAAATGCTATTGTAAACTATTTTATAAATAAGCAATTGTTGTTAGTATTAACATACTGCAGGAGACCAAGAGACCAAGTCCTCCCATGATATATAGTAAACTTATAACCAGTGAATTATTTTTCTAATGGAATCTAGAGTAGTATTTGATTTAATATTTGATTTAATTTACACTTACGTTTACAGTTAGGTGGCTTCCCTTTGTTACTCCAAAATCCATCTTCTTGACATACTGCTGTGGCTTGTTGGCTAGCTTCAAGTTTAAAGCCTTCATTGCATTCATATATCAATTTACTGTCCAAAGCAAACTCATTGCCAATAAAGGAACCATTTCCTGGGGATTCTGGAATTCCACAGGACACAGCTGAAAAAGATAATATAACAATTGGAGTCTTAGAATTTCTGAGGATTTATGAAGTTTTTTCGTCTTTTAAAAATTCTTGAATCTCAGACATAAAAATGTTTGGAATCTACATTTCTGATGCGCATTATTATTATAGACATTGACTTAATCTACTGTACAATCTCATGTTTAATTGGTATGTTTATATACTTATAATTATTAATATATTATGGCTTAACCATGCCATTTTATTTTTGCCCTGTTTTCATTGTTCTTTATCCACACTTCATACCAATTGCTTGAATATTTTTAGGATTCCTTTTTTGTTTAACTGTAATATTTTTCCTGTACATCTCTTTGTATGTAGTATTTTTATGGGCTTTATTGGTACTAAATACATACTTTATTATTGACTGTTGGTGTTGACATTTTATTGATTTAAGTGTAGAAAGATTACATCTTAATATGTCCTGTATCTTTTCATTTACAATATAATTGTCATAATTATAGTTGTGTATTTAAATGGTTGTTACAATACAACTTTATCACCTTCAAAGTACTCTACATTACACTTAATACATTTGTCAAATCTGCAGTTCCATTCTTGGAAACATGTTTCAAACTCATCTGTTTGGATGGCTGACAGCACCTTCCTTGTTTTTTCCTTCACCTCTTCTATGTAGTCAAATTGTTATTCTTTCATGTCCCTCTTCATTCACGGAAACAAAGTCTCATGGAATGAGGTCAGGTGAGTAAGGTGCATGGGACAAGAGAGTTATGCTGTTTTTTGCCAAAAGCTGATGCACTGAGATGACTGTGTGAGCAGGTGCTTTGTCGTGCTGGCAAAACCAATCCCCCATCTGCCCCAAATCAGGCCCTCTTTAGTCATGCACTGTTACACAATCTTTTCAGACCCTCTATATAGAAAGGTTGATTAACAGTCTGACCTGGTGGAATGAAATCCAAATGCACATGAGTCAACATTTTCTTTCGTTAGGGAAGTTCATGGACATGCAAAAGGAGGTTTGAAATCAATTGACATTTCACCTTTTTCAAAATGAGAAAACCACTGTACACTTGAGTTTTTCCCATCATGCTGTCCTTGTAAGCTGTGTTCAACATCACAACAGTTTCTACGGTATTCTTTCAGAGCAGGAAACTAAATTTTACTGTCACATGCTGTTTTCTTTAATTGGCTATCACCAATGAGGCTCACGCAAAACTGCTTTTACAGAAAAATTCACTGTGAACAGAGAGAACCTTCCCCGGCGACGCCACTGAGTGCACTAACTCATAGCAAGTTGCTTGAAGCTCACCTAATGGGAACAATGTCTACTAATGAAAGTCCTGCTCTGTCCAGTGGAATTCTGGTTCTTTAGGGGTACCCCTTCATATACCAACTTGATGGCACCTAACCACATTATATTATATTGCAATTTTTGCTTAAATCATCACATACCATTTCAAAAACTCAGAAGGAAAATATATTGTATTTACTCATATTTTTGCTCTTTGTCTTTCTTTAAGACACACTTCAGCTTTTATAATTCTCTTTTTCTTTAGAAAAAAATCTTTTATCTGTTCTTTTAGGGTATATCTTCTGACAATGTTATTTCTTCTTTACTTATACAACATATTTTCACTAACTGTAGACCACTAAAAGATTGAAATATCTTTCTTCAACATTTGAAACATTTCCAGCACTTGAAAATGTACTCTTCTTTTTAACTACCGAAGGCTTCTGATGGGAAAGCTAATACCACTGGAATCCTTGTTCCTCTATAGGAAAAGATTCACTTTTCTCCTGCTGCTTTCAAATTTTTTCTTTGTTATCAAATGTTTATCTCCAGTACCTCTCTGGGTTAATTTTATGAGCTTATAGTATTTTTGGTTGGCTCAGCTTCTGAAATATATATTAGATTTATGTCTTTTGCCAAATCTGGAGCTACTCATCCATAATTCTTGTACTTGCACACCCTTTATTTCCCTTTTGAGATGCTGATATCACGAATGTTATTTTGTTATAGTTTTCTTCACTTTGGCTCAGTGCTGTTTTATTTTTGTACTGTTCTTTGAGTGGAGTAACTGCTGTTTCTCTATCCCTACGCTCACTTACAATTCCTTTTTTTCCTCTCCATTCTGCCACTAAGTCCTTCTTTGAGATTTAAGTTTTCTGTTATATAAATTTTTTCTAATTCTTGCATGTGATTCTTCTTCAGATTTTCTATTCTTTCATTTATATGTTCTATATCTTTGCTGACATTTCATATTTTAAATTTGTTTCAAGTGTATAATCTGTTTTTAAACTCTTGACAGATACTATTGATACCAAATTGTTGTTGGCCTCTTTTGGTTACTTCTGTCATTTAATTTATATTTAAGGTATAACAAATTATTTTCTGTTGAAGCATGGATATGTTATTATACTCTGGCATCTATTTAAATGTGATGTCCTAGGAGGTCTTGTTGAAATTGCTCTGGTAAGTTGAGGGATTTGTCATCTCATTGGAAATGCAAGTAGCAAGACAGGTTCTCTGTTGGCATTCATTGACCTCTTATTACTCCCTTGCAGGTGGTGGAGTTTATATTTTCTCTCTGGCTAGCATGATTGAGACACATCATGAGCCCATACAAGATAGCCTCTACTGTGAAGAGGTGGCTTTTTTTTAAACCTATGAGTGATGGTGAAATTCCTGACTTTCCAATATGCTTCCTCTGATAAGGGGAGACACAAATCATTAAAGCTAGGTGAGGGTGGAAGGCCATGCTTTTCATGTGGGCCATTGATACCATGCATGACAAGGCAGTCTTACCACAGTAGGGAAAAGCCCAGATTCTCCAGTTGATCTCTTGTGATACCATGCTAGTGAGAAGGGGATGGAGACCTTGTTATAACCAAGAAGAGCTGGAAAACTGGGCGCCCTGTGTGACCTCCTTGTGGGTGCTAGATTTGCTGCCATTTGGCAGGGATAAAGGCCATAGCTTCCCATTCAGTCCTCTCTGACCCTAAACAGTCCCTCATTTATGGGGCAGGACTTTATTCTCATTAGCAGCACTTTCTACTCAGTCTTTGCTGCCAGGATGGGGGTACAGTCTCAAATTCTTTTTTCTGGTGTTTATCTGGAGTAGAGTGATTATTTTCTGAAAGAATTCTGTTTTAAATGCTGGTTTTTTACTGGTTCCTTCATTTTTCTTGGGGCTTTTGTTGTTGTTATTGTTATTATTATTGATGTTTGTGTGCACCGGTGTGTCAGGGGTTCGAGGGTCTCTGCTGTATAGTACAGTAAAAGGAAACCAAGAGAATTAATCAATGAGACCCTACTCATTCTGCCTTTTTCTCTCCCCCTTTCAGAGACTTGATATGTTTTTGTCACATAATTTCTAGGATTTTCCTACAGTAAAGGTCAGAGTATCTATTTCAAAATTACTCTGATATTGAGAAAAAAGGAGTTCTAAGAGATTGATGATATATGCTAAGGAAAAGAATTTGAGAAGTTAGCACACCATGTTCCCTGGTGGTGTAGTGTTTATACATGGGGCTGTCATCTCCATGGTCAGCAGTTTGAAACTACCAGCAGGTCTGCAAGATAAACACAGCTTTCTAGCATTTTTGCTTTTTCCCTGTAATAGCTTGTGTCCTTCAGCATGTACCAATCATCTAACTTATATGCTGAACATCTAACCTAAGTGGTATCCATATGTTTTCTTCCTAATAGTATAAAAATTCTTGGAGGACAAAACGTATTCTCAATATTTTTACCCTTTTCTCTTTGCTTTGTCTAGCACATCATATTGCTCAATAAATATACCTTCATAAAATTTATTTCTAGAAAATGGAAAAATATGTTTTACATCACAGAAGGTACAATTTTTATATTTTCAGACATCATCACAACTCAGTTCATAATATGAACATCAAAGGGCAAGGAAGCTTATACCACATAAGTACTATGCTTTCATTATAATTACTTTAACATTATTTTGATAAAAATTATGAATTCTAAAATGCAGTGTAGTAGAATATCAATGTGGTTATGCTTTTGTTATTTTCAGGAAATACCATATTTGATGTGCCTAAATGAAAATAAATCCAAATTTCAGATGGTTTATAATGAGGCAATGCTAAAGAAAAATGCAATGTCTTTCAAATTGTCTTACAGAAGATTTCACAAGCACACCAACTCCATTTTACATCCCCTCCACCCCAGAAATGAAACCCTAAATATTACATGACTTGACTCCTGAAATTATATATCTGTACAAAGTTTTACATCTTTACAACTGTATTTTATCAGATGTCCTGTGTACTTTCTTAGAATATTTAGGTACTGAGCCACAATTCACATGGTCATGATGCTGCCCCGGCATCGCAAAATCTGCTTTGGATTCAGAATAGAAGCAGTTATTAAGGCAGGCATTCCAATGCAATAGAGTGACACACTCCACTGTTCTTATAGATTGTCTGAGAACAGATGGGATGCTAGGCCCTCAAAAGAAAATGTACCAGTTTCACATCTAGCCTTCCACTGATCTTGAATAAACTGAAAGTGCTTATGGAAAAAGGGTAGGAAAGGAGAGCTCCTGACTCAGTGTTTACAGAAACCAAAGGAAATGCATGGACAACTTCAAAACTAGGAAGTTCTGAAAAGGAGAAATTTGGGATAGCAATGCATGGGGGTTATGCTGACCACTATCTTCAGGTCTAAACCTTTGGGAAATACTTAGAAAATCATAGCCCAAGGAAGGAAAGAGAAAGCTTCTCTCAACTGGAAACAAACCAACAGAAGAAAGCTATGAAAGCCTGGCAACATGGTAGGGTTGGCATGGAAATGAGTGATTATAAACAAAGGTTTGGACTGGGCAAGGCAGACAATCATGGATGCTGAGTTCAGGGCAAAGCCACTATGAGAGCAAAGGCCAAGGAAGTGACTGCACTGACCTACCATTTGTCGAGAGAGGGAAAAGAAGCCACAGGTATTTTTCAAAATTAGAAAAATTAAAAATAGAACAACTAAAAGAAG